TTTTTTTTTTTTTGAGACAGGGTCTCCCTGTGTAGTGAGACTGACCTGGCATGTAGCTCAGGCTGGTCTCCAACTCACAGCAATCCTCCTGCCTCAGCCTCCCGAGTGCTGGGATTACAGGCGTAAACCACCACGCCCAGCTGTTTTCTGCCATTTTGTGATTTGACTGTTCACTCTTAATACATATGTATGTGTGTGTGTGTGTGTGTGTATATTTATTTATTTTTTGTACTGGGGATTGCATTCAGAACCTTGCACTTGCAAGGCAGGTGGCAGCACCACTGAGCTAAATTCCTGGCTCTCTCAAATGTATATTTTGATGAACAGACACTATTTTAATGAAGTTCAGTGCCATGCATGGTGGCACACACTTATAGTCTTAGCACTTGGGAGGCTGAGGAAGGATGATTGCCTTGAGTTGAGGCCAGCCTGGGCTACACAGTGAGTTCAAGGCCAGCCTGGGCTACATAGTGAGACCCTGTCTCAAAAAAGAAGAAAAAATTCTTAGTGAAGTCCACTTTAATAATCTTTTGCAGGTTATGTTTTTTGCATCTTGTTCAAGAAGATTTTGCCAACTTCAAGGTCACAAAGATATTCTCCTAGAAGTTTTTTTAAATATTATATATATTTTTAAATTTATATTTATTCATTATTATTTTTTTTTATTTTTTATTTTTTTGGTTTTTTGAGACAGGGTCTCACTATGTAGTTGAGACTGAACTGGATGGAGCTCACCATATATCCCAGGCTGGTCTCAAACTCACAGCAATCCTCCTGCCTAAGCCTCCTGAGTGCTGGGATTACAGGTGTGCACCACCACACTTGGCTAGAAGTTTTGTTTACTTTTCACTTTTGGGTCTCTCATGCATCCTAGACTATTTTCATGAAAGATATGAAAGAAGAGTCAAGACTCCTATTTCCCCATGTGGATCAGCAAATTGACCTGACACCATCAACTAAAAAGATCATCCTTTCCTCACTTATTTGGAGGAAGTCGGATGATCAGATTTTTTTTTTTTTAATTCATTTATGAGACAGGGTCTTGCTATGTAGTCCAGACTGGTCTTCAATTTCAAAGCAATCCTCCTGCCTCAGCCTCCCAAGTACTGGGATTAAACATGTGCCACTGTACCTGACTAGATGACCATATATTTTATTTATTTATTTGGTACTGGGGATCAAACTCAGGCCCTTGTGCTTGTAAGGTAGGTGGTGGAACCATATATTTTAAATGTGTGCATGTGTAAAAGTTTGGAGGAAATAACAGGGTTTGTTAATAGTTGCTATGTTGGTGGTTTTTAATTTTCTTTCTTTTTAGTATTTCCTACATCAAATGCACTTTCAATACTCAGGCAAAAACAGATGAATTTTTTTTTTTCTAAAATGTTAAAGGAGTAGAAACTACTAAGGGTGCAGTGCTTGGAGGATGGGGGTGTTAGGCTGTATCACAAGCAAGAGAGTTGCTTAGCTAAAGGGAAAACAGAGGCTAGTGGATGGGAGGGGAAAATTTAGGGCCTGGCTGGCAAAGGCCTTAGTTCCCTGTGGAAGGTGGACCTATGAGGCTGACTGTGTGAGGAAAATGGAAACAGTCATCGTCAGTAATGTTGTGTTGCAAGCACATACTGCTCAGCAGTTTACAAAACATGTTCTGGTCCATGGCGTCCAGAGCACCTGCCAACAGTTCTCTGGGCTGGGCAAGGCCATGACAGTGCCCATTTTATAGATACGGAAGCCTGCTCTCTGGGTCCTGCTCATACAGTCACTAGAAACCATTGCACGCCAGGCCTTGTGCAAGTTCTGAGCCCAGAGAGACAAATATGGCACAGTCCTCTGTCCTCAGGCAGCTTGCAGCCTGGGGAAGGAAAACAGAAAAGAAATGGCAATGAAAGTCCAGTGTGTGAGCTCGATGAGGGAAATAAAGCAAGAGGTGTGGGAGGCGGACTGAACTCTTTGAGAGGGTCAAGGTGGTCATTTCCGCTATCTCCCAAGAGGTGGCATTGAAAGTCTTTTTTTTTTTTTTTTTTTCTGTTTTGAAAAATACCATTCAAATAGTATATGCATTAGAAGTGCAGGTAAGGGAGAGAGAGAAAAAAACCAATCACAATTCCTCTACCAAGACATAATCCCTCTTTATACTCTCTGATATAATGCTTTCTAAAACTCATTCTCTCTTGCACTAAAATGAAAACCCACTATACTGTAATAGCATTTTATAATTTGCTTTTCCTCACTTAAGACTGTCCATA